GGATTGGAAGAAGCACTATTGGCAGATCCCTTCACAGCAACAATCATTCAAAATTTAAAGGAGAACACAACGTCCAGGCCGGGCTATACTCTAGTGGAACAACGACTGTATTTCAATGGGCGCTTGGTAATTCCTGAGAGTTCATCCTTGCGTGCTAAGCTACTCGAAGAGGCTCACAACACCCCTTGTGGTGGTCATGGTGGATTCTTGAAAACTCTTAAACGCCTCTCCAACACTGTGTACTGGCCTCGCATGAAGCTGGATGTCAAGCGGTTGGTTCAACAATGCTTTATTTGTCAGAAAAGTAAATATGAAGCTCTTTCTCCTGCTGGATTGTTACAACCTATACCTGCCCCCGAACAGATTTGGGAAGATATATCTATTGATTTTATTGTGGGTTTACCTAAATCTGGAAATTTTGACACTGTTGCGGTGGTGGTTGACAGGTTGAGTAAATATTGCCATTTTATTGCACTATCTCATCCTTATTCTGCCAAAACTGTTGCCGCACGCTTTTGTGAACATGTCATCAAGTTGCATGGTATGCCCCGCTCCATCATCTCAGATCGAGATCCCCTTTTCCTAAGTGCTTTTTGGCAGGAACTATTTAAGTTGAGCCAAACACGTCTGAGGATGAGTACTGCTTATCACCCTCAAACAGATGGACAAACAGAGGTTGTTAACCGTTGTCTTGAAGCATATCTGCGCTGTTTTGCACATGAACAGCCGCGTACTTGGAGTAAATTCTTGTGTTGGGCTGAATACTCATTCAACACTAGCTTTCATTCTTCTGCCAACACAACACCCTTCAGAATTGTGTATGGCAGGGACCCACCTCCATTACATCCCTTTACTAAGGGGGAAACAAACATTGCTGAACTGGCAGATCAGCTCGAAACAAGAGATCACATGCTTCGTTTACTTCGAGACAACCTGAAGAAAGCTCAAGATCGAATGAAGTCTTATGCAGATCAGAATCGGCGTGAACTCACCTTCAAAGAGGGTGATGATGTCTTCCTTCGAATCCAGCCTTTCAAGCAACACTCACTTGCTCCTCGAAAGTATACTAAGCTTTCTCCAAGGTTCTTTGGTCCATATAAGGTCTTGCGTAAGGTGGGCCCGGTTGCTTACGAACTTGAACTCCCTCCATCAGCAAGAATTCACCCAGTCTTCCACGTTTCACTGCTCCGTCCAGCTCATGGATGCTCGGCTACAGACCCACCTGCAGATTTACCCCTTTCAGATGACTTGGTGATGCTCTTAGAACCCGCCAAAGTGCTAGCACACCGTTGGAAAGCAGCCCACCTGGAGCTCCTGATTCAATGGAAGTCCAGACCCGTAGAGGAAGCAAGCTGGGAGGATTATGATCTTCTATTGCAACAGTTTCCTGAGTTTCGCCTTGAGGACAAGTCGGTTTTTCAGGGGGAGAGTATTGATACAAATCCCAAACCAATCAGGACTTATCAGAGGCGTAAAAGGAGGGCTTAAGTTTGACTGAGTTTAATTATTTTATTAGCACAATAATAGGGCTTAAGTTTTGACTAAGTCTGATTATTTTAAAATGTGTTTCCATTCTGTTAGCACAATAATAGGTCCACTCTTGCTGTCATGGTCAGTTAGTCTTATCTTTCTGTTAGTGCCTAAAAAGTAGGGATATTTGGTTATTTCTTTGTATTCCAGCATTGTAAATATGCTAGTCCATCCTCCTGGAAGGATATCAGTTTATCAATATATTTCATAGCATCGGAGATACTCCTTGGCTTCTATTACCTCTTCTCAGTGAGATTCTTATTGTGAGAGGGTTAGGAGAGAATTCATTCTTCAGTTTCAATCTTTCATTTTTCATAATACCGTCTTGCTCCTATCAGATCCAGTGTTTGTTAAATTCAAAAACACAACCTTTTTGTATCTGTTCAGTACAGTTACTATTCCTAGTACCATTGTAAGTATTTGTTTCAGTACTTGGTTTTTAAAAACACAAAAACAGAAAAAATAATCCTATAATTCATATAGAGAAGCAAGGAAGAGGAACAGAAAATAAAGAATGTCCTTAAAGTTTTGAATCGTAAGCAAACCCACAACAAAACAGATCCAGTATTTGTTAAATTAAAAAACACAACCTTTTTGTATCTGTTCAGTACAGTTACTATTCCTAGTACCATTGTAAGTATTTGTTTCAGTACTTGGTTTTTAAAAACACAAAAACAGAAACTATAATCCTATAATTTACGAGTTCTAATGATCTGTATCTCTTTAGAGAAGCACCTAGATTAAGAAGCAAAAGAAGCAGTAGGTGACCTGTTCTTCATCCCTATAGGAAATGAAAGAAAGAACCACATTGTCCCATTATTGAGGGAAAAGTGTCATTTTTGTGGAGCTAGAGTCATAGAGGATGATTTCACATTCATCCTTTATAAAGATAATCGTGAAATCATTAAAACTTATGGAAATCTAAAAAAAATGCGCATCAAATTTCTGGAGGAACCTCGTTTTTTGGTCTCGAGTAACAAGTACCAGAGCCTTTTAGTTGTTGATATGCAACTAATTGACTTAGATATTTGGCTTAAGAATAAGATAGAGGAATTCTTAAAATAAACTTTTCCAATCACTTTTTTCTGGGTAAAAAGAGAAACAGACAAAGATGGTGGAATTTTGTGTAGAATGATTTTATAAGAATTTTTAGATCAGTTATTGCAGAAAAATTTCATATATATTCTTTGTCAAGCACCATCCATAAAGTTTTAATTCAATTGCACGACAAAAGAATAAGTGTTCTGAAGATTCTTCCTTATTTCTAAGTAAAAGGTTGAAGAAAGAGAGACACTATTCTTATTGAAGATCTACGAAGACAAATGTCAATGGTCATCAAGAGATGGTTCTAAAATATGGACGTAAATGATTTTGATCTCAACTTCTCACGGTAGAGCTTCAATGGGGTTTTAAATATATAAACCCAGGGAAATTGTAAGTTTTTTTCCACTTGTATTTTTTTTGAAACATAATCATTATATATGATATAACCACTTTTGAAACACAATCATGACAAGAGATTGATATTGATGTTTTCAGTTGCCCCATATGATATTGATTAATATTAATGTTTTTCATTAACTCTTACAGAGTATTACATACAAGTATATTATAGTTATATTACATGTGAAAAATAGTTATGTACTTATGTTACTATTTTTTTTAGGGATAACTTTCCGATGCTATGGTTGATCAATGCATCATTTTTTTACACTACTTGAAGGAGTAAGATTTCTTGATAAATTGCATGAGCTTTTGGAAGCAAAGACGATTATTAGATCAGTTGAAAATGATATAATGGCGGGTACTAAAGTTGAATTAAATGATGGTGATATCCTCTTAAAAGATTTATATAAACATATCATAAACAGCAACGATGATTGGGTTCAAGATATCCAAAAATGTCATCAACGAGGCTTGGTATAACCTCACTAGAAAGAACCCCTCAATTTCTTCCTTGACCTCCAAATACTTGGTGTAACTAATGTAGTGTTTCAAGACATTGATCCAGACATGTCTGGTAAACGCCATTTCATATTTCTGATTGCCAAGCATAGTTGAATACTCAACGGAATAAGCTTTGTTCTTCATCAACAAAGCTTGTTCTGTAAAGTATTCAACTAAGCATCGCAACAAGGAATATCAAATGGCATTTACCAGACATGTCTGGACCAAGCAACTTATTGTCATAATATCCTGAAACACTGCAATAGTTACACCAAGTATCTGAAGTTCAAGGAAGAAATTGAGGGGTTCATTCGAGCGAGGTTACCTTTGGTTCACTGCCAAACTATTGGGCTGTTATATCTTTGAGTTCTTGCTAGTAACTGGGATGGCAAAACTGCGTCTGGAAAACTATCGGGTTGTTATATCTTGCTAGTTCTTGCTAGTATTAGACTTTCCGGGCAGTATAAGAACTTTTGAAGTTGTAAGTTAAGACAAATTTATTAATGTTTGTGATGGGATTAAGCCCATTATAATCCCAATAGTTTTGCTTCCTAAGGCCAGTTCAAGGAAAAAATTGAGGGGTTCATTCAAGCGAGGTTACACCAAGCTTTGTTGATGAAGTTTCTAGATATCTTGAACCCAATCATTTTTGCTGTTCATGACATGTTTATATAAATGTTTTAAGAAGATATCATCATCAGTCAATTCAACTTTAGTACCAGCCATTATATCATTTTCAACTCATCTTATAATCGTGTTTGCCTCTAAAAGCTCATGCAACTTATCAAGAAATCTTACTGCTTCAAGTCGATTCCAAAAAAATGATGCATTGATCAACTATAACATCGGAAAGTTATCCCTGGAAAAAAATAGTAACATAACTATTTAACACATGTAATACAACTATAATATATGTAAATAAATGTAATACTCTGTAAGAGTCAATGAAAAACATCAATATTAATCAATATCATATAGGGCAACTAAAAATATCAATATCAATCTCTTGTCATGATTATGTTTCAAAAGTGGTTATATGATATATAATGCTTATGTTTCAAAAAACAATACAAGTGAAAAAAACTTACAATTTCATTGGGTCCATATATTCAAAACCTCACTGAAGCTCTTCCTTGAGATCAAAATCTTTTACGTTCACATTTTAGAACTTCCCTTGATGACCTTTGTCATCTATCTTCGTAGATCTTCAATAATAATAATGTCTCTCTCTTATACTTCTTACTTCAAAAATAGAGAGAATCTTCACAACACTTATCTTTTTGTCGTGCAATTGAATTAAAACTTTATGGATGATGTTTGTCAAAGAATTTTTAGATATGAAAAATCTCTTTTAATAACCAATCTAAAATTTTTATAAAATCATTCTGCACAAAATTCCATCATCGTGTTCTGTTTCTCTTTTTCCAAAAAAATGGTTGGAGATGTTTCTTTCATGAATTCCTCCATCTTACTCTTAAGTCAATAGGTTGCATATCAACAACTAAAAGGCTTTGATACTCGTCACTCGAGACCAAAAAACAAGGTTTCACCAGAAAATTGCTGCGCAATTTTTTTTACATTTTTGTAGGTTTCTGTGAGTTCACGATCATCCTTATAAAAGATGAATGTGAAATCATCCTCTATGACTCTAGCTCCACATGAAAAAACAATATTTTCCCTCAATAATCGAGTGCTGAATGGCTTGTAATTTTCCAGCCTTGAAACTGCATTTTAAACATCAAAAAATAATAAGTAATTGATGGTCAGAATAGTTGAACAATTAGAAAGTGCAAGCCTCATTAAAGAAAGGACATTAAATGTGGGACAGGGGATAAAGATGAATGGAGAACCATTGTTAAAAGCAGAAAGAATAAATCAATTCCTGTGATAGCTAAAAGAAAAAGGACCAATCATGGAAACCTAAAGAGCAATAGGTCTTCAGTAGGACTCATGCATCTAATCATTACTATAGACAGAATAAAGGAGTATCCAAATATGACAAATCAGAACAACAAGCAGATAATCCTGAAGCAAAAGCAGATAACCAAATCTCAGATGAAGGAACAAATGTTCACACTCCATGGAAAAAGAAAATGAAAAACATAAAAAGAAGCTCTTCCATATCCCAGTTGCTAATATGGATACTCGGATTACTACTAACAGTAGTGAACAAAAGAAGCCAGTTGGGCAAGAATAAGGGGCAAGGAAAATAATTGATCATTGGGAGGAAGTCAGTAATTGGTCCAAAACCAAACTTCTCTGGGATAAGGATGATGAAAATGATGACAGTGAAGAGGAAGGAACACAATATTGTCACTCAGATGGTGGATTGGATGTGCAACCAATGGACAAATCAGCTATTCAACCTCTTACAGTAGACACGAGTAATTGTCTCAGCTAAAGGAGTACTACAAACCCCTTTCTTATGACGATTCTCTTTTGGAATGCATGTGGGATTGCCTCTTCTCTCACCAGACTTATACATCTGAAGAGGTCCTATAAATATGACTTCATATGCATTATTAAACCAATTGTAAATGCTAGAAGATTGGATTCTTTTAATAGACAATTAGGTTACTCTAATTGTTTGGCTTCATCCAATAATAAGAGATGAGTTTTTGGGACAATGAGGTTCTTTTTCTCATCTCCTATAGGGAAGAAGAGCAGATTACCACTTGTGAATTTGAGCATAAAACAGATGGATCTCCTATTCTCATTTCCTCAGTTTATGGAAAACATAATATTAGAGATAGACAAGATCTTTGGAAAGCCATGCAAGATCATATGCCCGCTAATAAAAGATGGATTATTGGTGGTGATTTCAATGCCATCACTTGTGTGGAAGAACATAAAGGAAAGTCCTCCCCTTCTCTTAATAGCATTAATGATTTTATTGATCGCATTGATGCGTGTAAATTGATTTACCCTAAACCAGCTGGAAGTATATTTACTTGGTCAGGGGTTAGGACTAAGGGGAGAATTTGGAGAAGACTTGATAGGATTTTGGTCAATCTGGGATCTTATGGCCTCCTTTTCTAATATCGGGGTTTCACACTTGAGTAAAGCAACTTCCGATCACAGACTCATCTCTATGATCTACTCTAGCAGCAATAGTAAAGGCCCCAAACCTTTAAGATTTCTAAATGTTTGGACCAGACATGATAATTTCTTAGACACTGTTGAAAAGAGTTGGAAGAATATTCCCACCATTGGCAGTATGAAAGGTTCAGCTTTACAACTAAAAGGCCTTAAGACTGCATTGAAGGATTGGAATGCAAACATTTTTGGGCACATTTTTGAAAAAGGTGAAAGAAGCGGAAGAAGAGGCCACAAAAACTCAAGATGCATATGATAACCCTCCTTCAGAATCTCTTAGAGAAGAGGCTTCTTTAGCTAATGCCAAGCTTATTTTACCAGTAAACAGAGAGATGGAATATTAGAGGCAAAAAGCCAACTTGAAGTGGATGGAATTTGGTGACTCTAACATAAAGTCTTCCAAGCTTATGTAAAAGGAAAAAGATATAAACTGAATATCAAATACATTAGGGGTCTGTTTGGTACACGGAATTGACGGAATTAGAATTGAAATGAAATTAAAATTCTGTAGGATTGAATTGGATGGAATTGAATTCTCCAAATCCAATTTATTTTTGGCACTACTAATTCCAAATCTACGCTATCAAACAACAGAATTAGAATTATAGTCTCTAACTCCTATTCCATGACTTAAATTCCGTATACCAAACGGAGCGTGAAGATGGATAAAAAAGGCCAAAAACTGACCTAAGATTATTCTAGAAAGAATTTGACAGCAATTTTTACCTTCTGCCAGTCACTCACATTGACCTGCACAACATTGACTTGCTCAGGCCCTTTCTCCTCAGGGATACTTTCAAGGACTTTATTATATCGCAAATCTGATTTTTCAATGCTCTCTAAGTGTCTTAACTTGTTGTTAAGCGCACTCAACTTCTACTGAATATAGTGAATAACCAACAGCTGGTCCGCTAGCAGGCCTCTCCATGGATTTGCCGCGAGGTGGCCTTCAAGCGGAAGAAGATGAGGCGGAGCTGAGTTCCGTTAAAATTAGATGGGGCGGAAGAAGATAGGGCGGAGCTAGGTTAAATTGTTGGTTCCCAAACATTTTAACATTGTCCTTTAACCCCTCACTCTTGTTTTTGATCCGACTTGTTTTTGATCCGAAACCCGACTTGAAAACGTTGAGTTTTTAACAAACTCAGGTTTTGATGACCAAATCCAAAGTCTGAACCCAAAATGACCCGCTAAAATGGGTCAAACCTAATAGAAAATTTAAGTGTTAATGTGAATTTAATTTAAAAAACCAAAGTCATAACCTGTTGGGTTGAACCGGACCCGATGACACTGAGTCATAAACATACAATTCTCAACCCAAACCCGAATTGACCGAATCTGAAATAACCCGAACTTGAAGTGATCGAACCCGAACCCGACCTGACCGACTAATTTGCCATCTCTCCACGTAACATTATTGAATCTATGTAAAAATAGAGTTAAAAAAATTGTCTAAAAAAATTTCACCTGTCATTTATTTCTGAAAAACAAGCAATTTCTATAAACATTTTAACCTCACCCGTTATTTTCGGACAGTAATAAAAGTTGTGTTTTACTGTGCAAAAAAAATAGTGAAATTTGCACTAAATAGGAATAAAACATAATGACTTTCCTAATGTAGGACTTAAACTTTTTTATTCCCTAAATAGGACTTAATAATGACCTAGTGGGAGAAATAATGTCCATAATGATGGAAATTTACTTGAATAATGACTACTCCATAATGACCAAAGGTCCTACATTGGCAAATAAAAACATATGGTCCTATATTGGAAAAGTCATTATGTTTTAGTTCTAATTAGGTAAATTACTCGAAAAAATATTAAAAAAAGTTATTATTAGTTCCCAAAATCAGAGGAAAATGGGCGTCCTAGCTGGGTACCCTGACCCTGTTCCTCTCCAAGTTTAATTCTAAAATTTTGAGTCGGCGGGAATCATCTCCGGCGAGCCGGCGACTCAAGATCGGATGGGGCCCCCGAAGGCGGTGCGCACAATTTCGCAACAAGCCTTCGATGAAATGGTGATGGAGAACATAGAAGACATCGGGATGAATCCCGCCGAAGCTCTCGAAGACGCCGTTCAAACCCTAACCATCCAAGGCGTCGATCTCTCCGGTATCTTTCTTCACCTTCACTATCTATCTCTCTAATGAAACGATACCAACCGCATAACACCTCATTTTGTATCCAACAGGGATAGTGACTTGCATCCCGGGAGACAGTTCAGTGAATAGCCACCCAGTTATTCAAACGATCGAGCGGCTGAAGCAGTTGAATCTCGAATCGACTGGTAAACAAGACAGCGATGACGTTCTGAAGGAAATTGTGGAATTGTTGGATAGGTTGAATGGTTTGTGCGCCGATGAAGGATCAGGCCATGTAGTGATTGCTAATAAGAATGACGGAGTGAAATTGGTGTGCTCGATTTTTCTTAAGCTTAGAGGTGGGTGCAACCAGGGCGTAATCTCTTCTTTGAAGACATTGGCTAAGCTACTTCATGGTATGAGTTTTACTCCCTCATTAAGTGACACTCCACTCCTTTGGTTGATAGATCGATCTTATCATCTTATCGGGAAATTCTGTTTGGTCTTCTATTGATTAAAGTGGAGCAAATTGACTTGCTTATCATGGTTTGCATTTTATACTATTCTGTATGTTCCTAATAGTTTACTACGTAATTTTTTTTATAGAATCTTTAGTTGCCCATTATAAACGTGCGTATTAGGGGTTTGTGCTGTTTTATTGGCCTAAGAAACTATGGTTCTGTCTGTATTGTGGTCTTTGGAGGTGAAAACTTTGGAGGGCATGGTCTATATCTAAATGTATACTCTATTCACAGATGTTCAAAGCACAGAAGCATTTAGGGAGAGTGGCGGGGCACTAGCTGTTGTAGGAGTCATAAAGGATAATATCCAAGATGTCAATATCTTGGATTATGGATTTTCTGTTGTTGCGGCAGCTGCAACAGGTAATGAGGTTCTGAAAGAATCATTTATGGACTTGAAAATTGATGAGTTAATTGTTCAGTGCCTGACGGAACACGCTAGTGGGAGCATTCCTTATTTATATGAAGCCATACAAGTCCTGTTGACATCTGATGATAATCATGTGGTAGCCTCTCAAGTAAGTATAGTACCTTTTCTCACCTATTTTTCTAGCACAGTTTGGATGGAAGAACTTTGAGTTTTTTGAGTGGAAGACTTTGGAGGGTTTATTCTACGGGGTATATCTTGACAAGTAAAATAGTTCAAAAAATGAATAAAGAGCGATTGAAATATTTATCATCACCTGTAATCTTAATCCTCTTTTTTTTAATAACAAAATTTTCTGCATTTTAGCAGGGTATAAACTATAAACTTAGCCATCCAAAAGACTAAAACCATCCCATTTAAACCACCCCACACCATCAGTCCAAACTGAGACCTAGTCTACATAGGAATTTTTTTTCCAGACATAATTGGCTCTAATTGACTTGGAAGGTCAGACCTTCAGGAATCAAGATCTGTCCCAAGAGTGAAAAATTGCAGGAGATTGAAGAGTTCTTCACTTGTTTGTTTAACATTTGAACGTCATTTCCCATTTTAGGTTTTTGGATATGCCCGAAAATTTGCAAAAATAGGAGTTGTTGAAGCACTTGTGGGATCTCTGAGTCAGGGGATCGGGTCACCAAGTTTAATCTCAGCATGCAACGCCTTGAAATCCATTGCTGTTAATGTAAGCTTGTTTGAATCTGCAGTTCTTTTAATATATATTTCAAACTTCCTACAAAACAGTGATATTCTTTTCTTCTCTTCCATCTATTTTTAGGAAGAAATATGCAGAGCTGTTGCTGACAATGGGGGCATAGATGCGCTTCTTTCATGTATTGATGACAGTGGTCAACAGGGAAATCAAGCCTTTGCTAAAACTTGTTGTTCCTTGTTATCTAAGGTTCTTTCAATCTCTAAGTGACAAATACTTGATATTGGCATGTGGAACTTTGTCTTATAAGACTCCCCCGTCCCTAAAGTATTTGTCATTTTGACTGTCGCGGTATTTAAGAAGATGAGTGATGTGTGTCGAGATTGGTTTAGAAGAGTGAAATAATATAGGGATGGACTAAAAAGAAATAGTGGGAAGATAATTTAAGGGCATAGGGAGTAATATTTATTTATTATAGACGAGACAGTTCAAAATGTTTTAAAAACTTGAAAAAAACCTAATACATTGCAGTTGACTAGTTGGCAGGAAGTGATGCAAACAAATGTGCCATAGTTGAGAAGAGAGGGATGGATAGGCTGGTTAGGCTTTCGTTGCAGTTTTGTAATGAGCCTTCTGTACTACAAGAGGTAAGTAATAATAATGACATTTGCACGGATACATGCACTTCCAAAAATGTTTGGGTTATTCTACACATTCCAAATACTCTGTAAATAAATGTGAGTGGCAAAGCACTCTAAAAATATGCACACTTTTTGTGTGGCACAGATCATGTCTATTATTTCAGTGCTCTGCTTGAGATCCCCAGGGAATGCAGCCCGTGCTATTGAAGCCGGAGCAGGTGACCTTGCCATCCAATCCATGGAAAGGTTTATTGAATCAGAGCAACTGCAAAGGAATGCTTGTTTCATGATCCGTAATCTTGCGGTCAGAAATCCCGAAAACAGGCAAGTTTCATGTTCCACTCTCCCCAATTACCTGTTTGCCCGTGATGTCGGGTCTCATAGGGGAAGGTGTGTGAGGGATTGTTTGGTAATTTTGCAGAGACCTTTTGCTGGCAAACGGCGTAGAGAAGCTCATTAGGAAGGCCAAATCAACCCACAGAAGCTGTAAAGTTGCGGCAACGGATGCACTCAGAGATCTTGGGGTTGTCAACTACAACTCTTAAGCCAATTTGTGTTCTGAAATGGGAGAGCATCTCGTCCTTCTTCGTCTTTCTTTCTTTTTTTCTTCCATTTTTTTCTTCATTTCTTTTTATTATTATCATTCTTAAATTGATGTTCCCCTTTGCCTTTTCTAGTTTTCGAGCTATTGGGATGTCTTTTCAACAGAGCAAATCACAATCAAGCCATTTTGGCTACTCATTAATGGTATAACAAAAAATTACCTCAATGAACTTTACAATTTTTTTTGGAAGTGGCAAACATATATATATATATATATATATATATATATATATATATATATATATATATATATTGATGGTGTAAATTATCGACCGGTATATCGTTTTAGCCCGGCAAAAACGATAAACTAGTCTAAAAAATACACCAAACTATAAACACGAGGATTTTTACGTGGAAACCCAAATCGTGAGAAAACCACGGGCCTTTTTTGGCGGTACCTTGCCAACGGGGGATTTTTATTAATATCGGGGTGTGTACATGGTACATGATTTAGGCTTACAAGCCATTAATGGTGGAGCTAGAAGCTCTTGAAGAAGAAGAAAAATATGCTATCTAGAGAGAGAAAGAGTGAATGGCAGGGGAGAGTGTGATTTTGCCTCCCCCAATATTGAGGGAGAGCCCTCCTTTTATAGGAGTAGCTGGAGCATCTTCGGAGGAATATTCCTTTATTCCTCTATTTTATTAAACAGGCCCGGTTCGACTATTCTTCGTAAAATAATTGGAAAATGTGGGCCGAGCCACGTATTATTTCCCATCATATATATATATATATAGTGATGTAGATAAGAGAAAGATTGTGAGTTATTCAAAGTTTTCCATAAAAAAATAGATGAAATTTTTTTTGGAACGTTCCACAAAAATTAGAAGTCCTTTTTTTAAAATGGATGGAGTATTACTTATATCACCCATTTCACCCGCTGAGTGATGTATGTAGCGAATGTTGAATAAACTGGGTGATGAATATGGAGTTGATGGATATATGAGGGTGAAATTTCACCCCATCAAAACTATCTGTTAGCATCCTTAGAGTATTGCAAGTTGTCATTCAAACAATTGCTACTATAAATTAAAATTGGCCCATGGAGGTTAAAAAAGTTCCAATTATTGTTTACGATTTTTATTAAGTAATTTTTAATTCAATATATATAAAAAATTTGCTGTATAGTTTAAAAATAAAGAAAATATTTTTTGTCAAAAATACTGCGACATTTTTTCAGAGAATGAAAGTTGTAACTCAAAACACTTTTTTGTCAAAAATGGCCCATGCAGGTTTCGAACCTGCGACATTTGCGTTATTAGCACAACGCTCTAACCAACTGAGCTAATGGGCCTTTTTGTTTCTCATGGGTGCGGTAACGTCTTGTCCAACAAAAGCGCCAAACAATTCATCTAGGAACACTATCTTTCTTCAGCCTACAACCTCTATACGGAGTTGATTTAGGCAGCATATGCATGTTACTCCGTTTTAATTAGCACAATTCCTTTTCTTAAGACCATATCTGTTTATTTTTATTCATTCTACATTCATAAAAATGATCATGTTAGAAATAATATGAATTACACAATTTTTGTTGAGCATAAAGATTAATTCTTTTTATTCAATTTGAAACTTTTATTTTGAAGGTAGTAAATGTTTCTCCAAATAAAGAAATAAGGACCATCTCCATCTTCCAAATATAAATCATTTTGGTTGTATGATATGACTCATTTGAGCCAATGACAGATAACACAACAATTGTTGGTAATAAAATATTATTGCCAAATGTTGGAAAATATTATAATTTAAAAAATGTGAGACAATCTATATGCTGTTTTAGGAACCCATCCCTACCAAAGAACAATGGCAAATAATCCCAAATCACTATTAAATGTCCAAAAATATTAAAAAAAATGGCCCATGCAGGTTTCGAACCTGCGACCTTCGCGTTATTAGCACGACGCTCTAACCAACTGAGCTAATAGGCCGATGCGCATTCCCACTCATACGTTTAATAAATAACTGTTTATCGCTTCTTCCTGACTTTGACATAATCCATCTATTTTGTTGATAATAATCTCATTTGGAATTTGGATTATCCCATCGTACGGAATAACGTAGCAGTAATACTCCCTCCTCCATCCTATAATGTTCTTCCCGATTCTGTTTATGACGTTTGACTAACTTTATTTTCAATTCAATTTATTTGATTGTATGTGTAAAATTAAAAAAATTAAATTTATATATTTAAAAACTACATCAAAAGTTCTACAAAATGAGTGGTGACAAGACTATATTATTTTATCAAATACCTAATGAAAATAGGTAAAGAAATTGATTAATGTTTGACCATGAGAAAGGTAAGTGGAAAGAACATATTAGGACGGAGGGAATATCATTTTGTGTTGGTAGAGGTTCAAATAAAGTTTTGAATGCAAACGGTAAAAGTATTAATAGTATTTTTTTTATTGTTGAATTTTTTAATATCACTATATAAAGTTAATTATATCCAATGTTTTGAAAAAAATGATAGGTGCATTAAGGCATATTTTCTTTAGCTTATCTGATTGATTATGATTAGATATGATTAAGTTCTGACTTGATCTGATTGTTATTATATTTAAAAATATTTTTAATCCAGTTCTAAAATAAATAAGTAAAAATAATAAGTTGAAAAACTCTGAAGGTTTGTTTGGTGTACAGAATTAGAATTGAATTGAAAATTAAAATTTTAAGAATTTGATTTAGATGGAATTAAATTCTTTAATTTCAATTCATTTTTGACACCTACTAATTTCAAATCCACATTCTTTTGTGCAACTAAATAGCAGAATTAAAATTATTGTCCCCAATTCTAATTTCAAAGTTTGAATTTCATGTACCAAAAGGAGCATGAGGGAAATCATTCGAATTGGTTTCACCAGCTCAGCAGCCCAATCTCAATAGCATCATATCAACACAATATGTTGAGGAAATGATTTTTTTTCCCTCAAACACTCAAAGGAAAGGCATGTCATTATCATATGTTTTGTATGTACTAACTCATATTACAACTTTCAAGTACACCTTAAATCAATCAAAAACAACAAAACAACACACTCACACCCAAATCTAAGCTTCCAATATTTCTAAGCACCCTCTCATCATCCTCATTAATATGTATAATTAATAACATTTTTAGGAGTAATTCATATGTATATATTGTGAGCAATCCTCCCCCTCAATGGACACATGATCGTCATCTGCAAAATTCATGGCGGACGTATCTCTATACATATTCATCTATATGCCTTAATCAGTTCAAAGATGAAATATATTTCTCTATGGCTATCTCTCACTCTGATTTGTTGTCATCTTCAATGCTCTCGCTTCCGCTGGTAAATGTTCTTTGAGAGCTCGCCGCTAACTGAAGGATCCCCTGAGGAGAACCAGACTGTGAACTGCTCTGCTTTGAAGATTCACACTTCTGGTCAATGGCCATACACGTATTATTATTATTATTATCATTATTATCAGTACTAGTGGGATTAGTAGTAGTTGTAGTATGGCCCAAAATGACAATGGATTTATTCCCCGGGGATGATGAATGTCCGGCTGGTAGTCTTTGAACATGGAGTCTATATTTCTGTAAGGAAAGAAATGAAAAAAAAATGCTTGTCATGATTCATATCAAACATGAGGAAAGGCACATTGGGGAAAAACCAATTGGAAAGTTGGGTACTTACTTGCAAATGACTCTTTACTTCATCATTGGTCAGACCTTCCACTTGCATCAGGTCTCTAATCTGCTTAGGAGTGGCAACTGCAATGAACCAAAAAGGTCTGTATAAAGTTCAAATTTTTACTTCTCAAGAAACCAATTCAAGCTCATTTCTTGAACTTGCCTTTGTGTTATTAATATTATATCACTCCTCACCATTTTGGCCTAGAACTTTTCAGAATACCATTTGGAACCAAGTTAGGGCTTGATTGGCAAGGGTCCCTTTGTTAAGGGTCATTTAGAACACTATTTTGCAGGGTATTACTGGGTTTCTTGTGCATTTGACAACATCTATTTCAATCAAATAAGTGGAAACCTACTCACTTAAGTGTAAGCAGATAATGCCTCCACAAAGAATTATCAGTACTAGTGAAAAGGAATAGAGTTCCTTACCTTGCGGACCACCAAGCTGTTGCAAGGCATCGACAAATGTCCTATGCAGCTCCGGCGACCAGCACCTTCTTTGCTTCCTACTAGATGACTGAAGCAGCAGCTGGGTACTGCCACTTGAAGCACCACCGCTGTAAGGTACTAGTTTCTTTATTTTTGAACTGAAACGATCCATTACTGCGGCGTCTTCTTCTTCGTTCTTGATTCCCGGTGTACTAAGAGAAAGGGATGGTGATTCTTCCATGGGAAACCTATAGTTCCCCTTGAGAGGAACAAATTATGACAGTTCATCAGCAGGCATAAATTGCTAAGGAACCAATTCAAAACAATAAAACAGATTGCATATAGTGGTTTTACCATTGTTCTGAGATCTGTTGTTAGGCCGTGTTTGGCGATGCCAGAGTCTGAAATGCTGCAACCCTTATCGCCACCATCCCAGAGCTTAAAAGAGCTCGTCCATTTTACCTTTTCTTTACAGTCTTTCTCCTTGACATTCTCAACCTTGTTAATATCATCACCATCATCATCAACTGGAGTCTTCTTCACTGGAAGAAATTCTTCCAAGACTGGTTCACCCAGTGACTTCCTACACCTCTTCGACTCCTCCTTCAACACTGTAATCGCTGCAATCACAGTTCAAGAAAAGCAACAGAATCCATTAAAAGTTTTAATTTTTAACGCCCCATTAACATCTCTCTGACTTTGATTTCAATTTCCAACACCAAATCGAGAAAGATTCGACCCCGAAACGGTAAAAAATCGCACACATAAGCGGTAGAAATACCATCGGCGAGGAGAAACATGCACAGAGGGAGTTCGCGCTTGAAGCCGTCGATCTTCCGCATCTCGTCTTCGAGCATCCTCAGGCGATGCTCGATCCTCGCCAGCCTCTCCGAAACGTCGCCGATCATTGAAATTTCACCCAGAAACTCAGTCACCGTCCGGAGAACGAGAGGGTGGTTGGAATCCAATCGGAGCTCAGGCGAATTAGAATCCATTTCTTTCTTTCTTTCTTTTTCTTCAAGATTGAACTTTTGATTCTGTCGTGGATCTTCTGGGCGTGTGGTGGGTATAAGCCAGGGAAATATGGAAAACCAGCTAGCTGAGATTGAGAATCTTTATACGGAGTGATACAGAGAAGAAGAAGAAGAAGAAGGAAAGAAAAACGGATGGATGAAGGAAGAGCAGGGCAAGATTCTGCAAGGAATTGACCGAGAAGAAAGGGGAGGGGTGGCGATCAGTATTTGGAAAAGGGGACTTTCGCCGCATATTTGATCCGTTGGAGCATCTAGATTCCGATCCACATTCATGAATGGTCTCTATTGCCCTTTCAACTCAAAAGATTCTCATTTTTATTTCTCCCTATTCCGTCTTTCGGAGTACTCGTATTAATTTAATTTAATAAATAAAAATAAAAATTCTCATTTTTTTCCTGTATTATTCATTCGCTACAAATTAATTTTCTTTTTGGGGAAAGTTAGAAAAATTAAATCAAAACATATTCAATAACGATCCTATCTTTTTTAAAAAATTTACAACATAGTTTTAAAAGTTAATTATACTCCCTCTCGAAACTTTGTTTGTGATGATTAAATATTATTTAATTCTTTATTTGGTAAAATTGTATAGTCACGTCAAGTCTTGCGTTTGTAGAATTTTTGATGTATTAGAATTTTTTTTATTGAAGTAGGTTTTAATTATATAAAATTAATTTTTTAATTGTACCCACACTTAAAATCAAATAAATTAAAAGACTTCAGTCAAGCCTCAAACAAAAACGAGAAGAAAAATATTAAGATGGAGAGAGTATAGATATTATATAATATAAAATTAAAATAATTTTGCTTAATGAGAATGTATTGTGTGTAAGTACAATTATAAAAGTACCATTATAATAAGATTATTTCATAAAAGTAATATAAATTGAGTTTTAGAATGTTTTTGGGTAGACGACCACTGGTGTTCCAAACTCGTATTTGAGAAAATCTGACTAATCATGATGAGAAGGTATATGGTAGTACCGGATGTACGATACATCTGCCTAGTACTCATTCTGAAGTAGAGTAGTACGCATTCTCGTAGAAATATAATAAGCGTGGTATTCATTCTAAAATAGTGCAGTACTCATTTTTGCACATTAGTTCAATATAATTATAATATTCATCTACAAATAATGTAGTGTTCATTCTGAAACAAAACAATACTCATTCTCAAATAACTTAGTGTTCATTTGAGTCTCTAATGATAACTACAATCTCTTACCCTTAAACAAACTCTAATAACATATTCTCAATATTTAATGCTCCCTCCATCCGAAATTAAGCTGCATATTTAATATTTACAAGATCAAATTTTAATAACGTTCTTAGTCCATTTTCGCATCGTATTTAAAAAAATAACTTGGTGTTGTCAACTCTTGTTTTATAAAACTTTCGGTGTAGTTTTTTAATATATCAATTTTATTTTTTAATTTCTTACTAATATTCAAATAAATTAAATTGAAAGTATCTTCAATCAAATCTCCTAAATAATAGCAAAAAATTAAATTAGGATAGAAGGTATGTTTTATTGGAGAATGCTAGAGATACTAGAGCGGTATGTCCCATTTGTACACTAAAACATTCACACACACAGACACCCAATGTCTGTGTATTATATAGATATTCAGTATAGGTGCATGTTCGAAAATACTTTGGTGTACAAATGAGATACACCACACGGATTACCCATAACTTTTCTCATATTTTAAGACAAAAACATACTACTTTATCTGTTTCTAAAAGATTATCACAGTTTGACTTTTTAATCAAATTGTGACATCCTTGGATCACAAATTAAATATAGTTTAAAATAATTAAATATTATAAACATTTGATATTTCAAAACCATTTTTTAAAATAAAACAAATTTTACTAAATTTAAATTATAATTAAAAACACTTTTTCTATAATTTACAATTAAAATGCGCCATAATTTGACCAAAAATGTTAAATTATGATAATCTTTTGGAGAGGGAGAAAATATGAGATGGTGGGGAATATGATAGATTTGGGAGATAAGGATGCCAAGGAATCATATCTTTGTCTTGTGGTTGTGGCGGATGGGAAGCTGTATTAGTCCATACGTTATATGCAAATAACTCAAACAAAGAATAATTAATTGGATCCAAAGAATTAGCATGTTTTTTTTTCGAATGAAAAAAAAAAAAAGATTTGGTGCGATGCTCCATTGAATCTAGTCCGGTTAATTTGTTAGAAATATGCTCTAATATTATTATGTACCCCATTTTATATACCACAACTCACACATAAATATTATTACTTCTGTTCATGAGTATTTGTCATTTTTAGCTTTTTACAGTTAAAGCAAATTGTATGTTGGATCTAAATTCTACCATAGATCTACATATGAACAAAACAAGCATCTTTTATTACATAAAGAAGTATTTGTTTTTTTTACATAAGTTTTTTTATGTGAGAAAATTTGTAAAAATGATATGCACCGAAGGAATACTATACAGTTAATTATTTTCAATCTTTAACTTATACTTACACTATATATATATATATATATATATATATATATATATATATATATATATATATATATATTTGTGTGTATGTGTGTGTGTCTATATATATATATATATATATATATATGGGATTGACTCCAGTGAGATGACACATTACGGTAAGATGACATGCTTCGGTGAGATGACGCAAAGCTCACCACATTACACTGCAAAGCTCACCAAGAACAACTACAGAGCTCACCAAACTGTAAGGCAAAGCTCACCATATTTTTTCAACACTTTAAATTTTTTTTGAAAAAAAAATCAAAGGAAGTGATGCTGACTGGACTTTGACCATTTTACCATCACCTGCAACCCCTGCCGCTACCGACCTCCGGCCGCCGGCGACCACCGCCGGCGACCTCCGGCGACCACCGCCGCCACCGGCTGCCGACCTCTGCCGCCGCC